TCGGAGCACTGGAGTTTCTGAAAAATACTGAGATAGCTTTTTTAGTAGTAATGAATTTAGAATTGAGGGGTAACTTGGGGAAGGCCACATCAATCGTTTATTCAATTTTTTTTTCTTTTTTTTTTTGTCATGACATTCACACAATTACTGGTGGTTTAGAAAATGCAGATATCATATTTCCATAAGGACACATACATACGCTTTATTCTGCTTGTATAAGAAAAATCAAATTATAAAAATTTAAAACTTAGAGTTGGTACAAATTTTGCACACTCTTATTAGTTTCCATGTTTCAATATAGACTATTGTTCTTTGTTGATAACCTAAGGTCATTATAATAAAAATTAGGATTAGCTCTGTGAGTCATCTTAAGATTCAAATGGCCCCCATTCTTCCTTAATCATCTGCCCCCACCTTCTGAAAAAAGGCATTTAGGATTTATGGCTCTCGAATCAAATGCTTATGTTGGATCCTAATAAGGAAGTTTTATTTCAGGTCTTTGTAGGTAAAATACCAAGAGATTTGTATGAGGATGAGTTGGTGCCCCTTTTTGAGAAGGCCGGTCCCATTTGGGATCTACGTCTTATGATGGATCCACTGTCTGGTCAGAACAGAGGGTATGCATTTATCACCTTCTGTGGAAAGGAAGCTGCACAGGAAGCTGTTAAACTGGTATGTGATAAATATCTACTGTCTAGCAAGTCACTATTTGAGGGAATGAACCTCAGTTGAAAAATGCTTACAGTTAACATTATTTCCTTTTCAAAGTTGTTTCTTTGAATGTTTTTGTACTGAGTGAGTCGATATGTGACTTTTGCTTTATTTTTTCTGACTATAAAAATAAAAAATGAAAATATCCAAGAAATAGTGTTACAGGATGTCTCCTATAGTTCTAAGAAGTTATCCATTAGATTCATCAGTATCAAAAGTTTCATTCGAATATTTGACTTCTGTAACTCTCTCCTTTGGTTTAGAGAAAAAGGATATTGAGTTTTGCTGTTTAAACTTTGGGATTCTTAAAGTGTAATGAAGGCTAGGATGGGTTGTGGGGAACATAACAGGGGTGGTAGTGACTTTTAGGACTCAGTGCAGGAAATGGTTGTGAATATTATTTTTGTCACAGCCTAATCATGTAATTTATTTCACATTTTCTAAGTGTATTGTTCTTTTCTTTTTGTTTCTAGGCTCATGAGTCCTCTATGTCTTTAATCTTTCTCTCCTTTTCTACTATTTTATAGCCAGTCTTCTAGTAATTTCTTTTCTCTAGGGCCTTTTTACTTGTGGTTATTTTAGAGGAGAAATAGTAACAGAGTTCTGCAAATCAGGTATATCTTTATTCCTACTGTATTTAAGATACAACTATCTCAGTATCTTAAAATAACAAATAACAATATGATTGTTGTTTGGCATACTCTTGCCAGATATCTAAGGGCCTCACTTAGTCTAGTTTTAACCTTTTTAGAGTGAATAACCTCTTCGACCAAGGCTTTTGGTTTCGTTAGTGGGCTCTGAATTAGTTTTACTCTGACCTATATTTTAATTTTTATTATGGATTTTTTTCTTCAAACTTGTTTATTTAATACTAAGTTTTCAAATCTTTATTTCCTCATTTCTGGCAATGCATGGATGGTTTTATTTTTTAATAATCATGTCTTTTAAAACTAATGGGTAAGTAATGTTAAAGCATAGGAGCTAAAATTTGTCAAGGAAACCATCACTATAGTGATTTAAATAAAACATTTTTTTATCCCTGTCTTTTCATAAAAATTTGAAATTATTGTGTTTGGTAAAGTTTAAAACTTTATATATTTTAAATTCTGACTTGTATAAAATGTAAAATTCTTCTAGATGTCTTTTGTATTGATTAAACATAGTTGTTACTCTATATATTGTTATTTTGACTATGGCTTATCTGTATCTAATTTCATCCCTAAGGACCCTGAATGATCAGTCTCGGGTACTTTTTCTGAAAATCTCTGGAAAAAAATTTTCAGATAGATAAAATTGAAATGTGAAATAAGATATTTTAAAAAATAAAGTGAATAACTTTGAGTCCTTTTATATGGAGGAGCAGTGAAGGTTAACAAAACCAAACTAAAACAAGAGACCGTAACAGTGAAGTTTAAAATATACATTCATATTATGGCAAGCATGAGGGAACTCGGTGAGTTCATGAAGCAGGGAGTGTTTGGCCTTAAATTGTTGAATTTTTTAGGTTAAGATCAGTTGTCCTGAGTTTAGGGTTGTTTTGGGGTCTCTGGTTCTTTTCTTCCTTACAGTGTGACAGCTATGAAATTCGTCCCGGTAAACACCTTGGAGTGTGCATTTCTGTGGCAAACAACAGACTTTTTGTTGGGTCCATTCCGAAGAATAAGACTAAAGAAAACATTCTGGAAGAATTCAGTAAAGTCACAGGTAAAACAAAAATGTATTTAGAAATTAGTTTTGGGAAATCTGTTGTACAACTTATAAGTGCTTAAACAAAAAAAGGTATATATTAAGAATTCAAGTCTTCAGTGACTAACTTGCTTCCTTTCTGCTTTATAGTGTTTTAGACTAAGCAAGTTCCCTCATATCCTTAGTTTCTTGAAACTTCCCTTTTACTTCTTTGTCTTGATTGAACCTTGGCTTTTGCTAGAGCCTTTGCTCTGTAACCCTCAACTGAAGGAGGCTTTTTTCCCATACTTTCAGTGTACTTCAGGGCCAACAGGATGGTCATTTTTTATTCCTTCCTTCTTTGTCCAAATGAGATTTTCTAAAATTTCCAATTTGAAGTCTATGGAATGGATTGAAAAGTACATATTTTATATCACAGGTCTATAAACATTTATGTATAACTGAAACAAAATTTAACAAAACTGTACTTTTATTTATTACACATGATTTATTCTTATTCTAATACTTCCTATTCCATTTCTTTTTTTTTTTTTTTTTGAGACAGGGTCTCACCTTGTTGCCCAGGCTGTAGTGCAGTGACACAATCATAGCTTACAGCAGCCTCAAACTCCTTGTCTCAAGCAATCTTCCTGCCTCAGCCTCCAGAGTAGCTTGGACTATAGGCGTGGGCTACCATGCCCAGCTAATTTATCTATTTTTTGTAGAGATGGGGTCTTGCTGTTGCTGGTCTGGAACTCCTGGCCTCAAGTGATCCTCCCCCCTCCCAAAGTGCTAGGATTGCAGGTGTGAGCCACCATGCCTGGCCCATTTCATTTTTTAATATACTGATCGAGATCCATTGATACTACCTGTGATTAAAACCACTGTTTTAGAACACTGCCTCTCCTTATAAAAACCATTGTTCCTCCACATTTTTATCCTGCAGACATATTCTTTCTCCTTCCTTGAAGCTATCATCCATTACTCTTCAGGTTTCAGCCTTTCATTAATTTGAAGATTGTTTCTGTCTCACAATATTCCTCTTCTGCACTAAATTGACATTCTTAGCACTTCAATATCTACTTGGATGAACCATCCAAAGCCTTAGATTTTTACTTCTACGACTCCTTCATCTCCACTCCTTTACTTCAGCTCCACTATGTACAGATCACATTCTGGATCTTGTCATCAGAAATTCTACCCACTCTGAAATCTTGATTTCTAGCATCCCACTTTGTAACTACTGCCCATTATAATTGTGTTGGTCAAATACCCCTGTTGGCACAGTTCTTTGACTTCATTACTTTTTTATTATCTACAGCTCCTTTCTGGCTTCATATCCATTTATTCATTCCTCCAGCAGGTGTGTATTCAAGTGCCTGTTAAACACTCATTGCACTATGTGCTGGAATACATTGGTGAATAGGAGACCTACTCTCTGCCCTCATAGAGCCTGCATTCTGGGAAAGGAGATAAAACAACAGAATTTAAAGAAATGATTAAACATTGTGATAAAACACTGTGAGGTGGGAAATACAGGATATTTAGCTAGAGAATAGCTATTATCCCTGTTTTGGTGTTTATGGAAGGCTTTTCTGGTAAGGTGACCTTTCAACCAAGACCTAAAGGACAGGGAGGGTGTAGCATACAAAGAGCAAAAGGAATTGTATTCCAAGAGAGCAACACATGCCAAACCTCCAAGGCAAGCAAGAACTTGGTATATTAAAGTAACTGAGAGAAGGCTAGTGTTGCTAAAAAGTAGAATTAAGAATAGAATTATGACATGAAGTTGGCAGGGCTTTTGTAGACCATGTAAAGAGCTTGGATTTTATTGTATATATAATGAGAAGGCATTTAAAGGTTTAAAGCAGGGAATAACATCTGTTTCCTCTGTTTCATGGTTACAGAATATTATTCCTACACGTCTCTGTGGATAAGGCTTGGAGAGAGGGATTAAGAGTAGAAGCTGATAAATTAGTTGGGGCTGTCATAGTATTAGTTGAGATAGGAGATTGGACTAGTGTAATAATGGAGATGGAAAGAAGTAAATGAGTTTAGAATTGTATAGGAGAGATGAAGTAAAGGAAGAAATCAAGAATGTCTTATCAATTTCTGGCTTGAGAACCTGGTGGATGGCACTGTTTATTAGGAAAGTCTAGGGAAGACAGATTTTGGCCATGGTGGTGCCATTTTGGACATGTTAAATTTGAAATGTCTAACCAAAGGGCAGTAGCCACATCTGGAGCTTAGAGAATCCTGGGCTAAAAATAAAATCCAAGCATTTAAGACCAGACATGGTGGCTCATGCCTGTAATCTGAGCACTTTAGCAGCCTGAGGCAGGAGGATTGCTTGAGGCTGGGAGTTCAAGACCAGCCTAAGCAAGAGCCAGACCCCCATCCCTACAAAAAATAGAAAAATTAGCTGGGCATGGTGGCATGCACCTGTAGTCACAGCTACACGGGAGGATCATTTGAGCCCAGGAGCTTGAGGTTTCAGTGAGCTATGATGACACCACGGCACTCTAGCTGGGGTGACGGAGCAAAACCCTGTCTCAAAATAGAAGAAAGTTTTCCTGGATTTATAATTTTGTTTTTAAGGTTCTTGATAGTGCCTTTATAAACCATAAGGTCATCTTATATCTAACACTCTAAAACATTGTAGAATGTTAAATGTCAAAAGTATAGTAATTGGAACTGTTGTATACTGCTATACCTTTAGGCCTCCTAAAATTAAAAGGGAAACATTAAATACTGTCCCAAACTCCATATCTAATTACGCTGATCTGATTGTCTACTAGGTAATTAGTGACTCATTTTGAGGCTGCTTCACTTATTTTTTGCTCGTCAGCAAGTGGATTTAGGTCTGCCTAATCGCTAGATGTGTGGTGGATGCTTTTGGCTTATATATCTGGCTGTTGGTTTAACAGAGGGTTTGGTGGACGTTATTCTGTATCATCAACCCGATGACAAAAAGAAGAATCGGGGGTTCTGCTTCCTTGAATATGAGGATCACAAGTCAGCAGCACAAGCCAGACGCCGGCTGATGAGTGGAAAAGTAAAAGTATGGGGAAATGTAGTTACAGTTGAATGGGCTGACCCTGTGGAAGAACCAGATCCAGAAGTCATGGCTAAGGTAAATGCAGTTGTTTTGGGTGGGGGTAGGGTTGTTATTTAAATGTTATACTCAGAGTAAAGCTCAAATTTTTCAACCTTTATGATAAATACAAATTGTAGTTCTTGACTTTAACTGTTTCAACAAAGAGCTGCTTTAGTACTGAAGTTAACAGCCTATCTTGGTATCTAGGAATTGCCGTTAACCATCCCTTTTCCTGCAGATTAAATGTGCAAAAGGAACTGAAGTGAAATCCCTTCAATTAAGTGTTCCTATACACACTATTTGTTTATTGCTAGGCACTGTGACAGATACAAAGACAAGGTCTTGTTGAGTATAGAGAAAAGGAATGTTTTGGAGATCATAAAATATAATCTTCATTGTCCATACTATGACTTGTATTACGTGGCCATGAATTATATTTTTAGATTTATAGCTAATTTTTTTTCTTTGTTTAATGACCAAATTCTCTTAAAGTATTGTCCCCATGAACAAAGGCAGAGGATTGTCATGTTTGCTGTTACTTGCTAGTGGCAAAATATGCATGGCAAATTCTGTAGAGGGCCTTCAGTTACCTCCTAAGCCCTGTACTTGCATTGCTGGGATCTTTGCCTGGTAAATGGTGGTGCCATACGTCTTTCTTAGGCTTTTTCCTTTGGGTGACTGCTAAGACTGAAGAGAAACATCCGAATTGTATCTCTGCTGCTTGCAGTAAATTCTTGAGTACTTTGGTTGTCCCTTCCCTTTTCAGGGAGGCAGCGACTCTATAGATGGCCATGAGTTAATTAGTGGTTGGATTCTTCTTGATTGAGAAGTCTTTCCCTCAAGCTTTTTATTCCAGATTTTTAGGAAGTGAGTCCTACTTGAAGAGGCAAGTTTAGAGGAGAACCCTGGTTTATACAAGTATGGTGAAGGCTTTGTAGGCAAAGATATGTTTTGGGTTCAGAAGAGATTTATTGAGAGTGAACCAGAGAGGCTTTCAGAAATGCCTCTTAGTACCTTTTATCTCATATTCTTGAGCAGATGGGTGTCTAGGAAAGGGACTGGGAGTTTAAATAGCCTTGAGTTTTTATTTTTTACTGGCCTGATTTTAATACCAGTTATTTCTTCTCCTAATACAATTGTGACTTTGGGCAGACTACTGAACTTGGATGTCATCTGTTTTATTGAGGTTGGATAAATGTTTTAAGATGCACTACAACTTTGAATCTGCCTATAGAAATTAAGTATAGCCTGCATTGTTTTTTTCTATAAAAATATTTAAAAATAGCATTATAGATGTATTACACATTATAAGAGATGAGTAAAATCTCCTAAAAATCAGAAATATAACTAGTAATTTGCTTATCAACACTTTTCACATACCTCTGGTAACCTCTCAGATGGGAGTTCATCCTAAATCTTTTTAGGGTTGAAAATCCTCATGATTTTATTCTAGTAATCATTATTTTCCTTAGATCGAAAACAAGATTTCAGAATGAAAAGGAGACCTCTATAAACTTGGGATCGAATAATATCGACTTCTTCATTGTTTTGTTTTCTTCTTCTTTTTTTTTTTTTTGATAGACGGGGTCTCAGTATCTTGTCCAGGCTGCATGGAGTGCAGTGGCTATTCACAGGCACAATCAGTGCACTGTAGCCTCGAACTCCTGGGCTCAGGTGATCTTCCTGCCTCAGCCTCCAGAGTAGCTGGGACTACAGGCATGTGCCACTGTGCCTGGCTCCTTTGTTTTATAATTGGGAACAAAAAGTTTGTCCATTAGAGTAAAGCTTCTGCTGTTCACTCTATCAATGTTATAATTCATTGAAGACTTTTTTGCCAAGTAGGGTCAGTTTTATAATCAACCAAAACTTAAATGTATCTCTCTTAAAAGGACCCTTTTTTCTATTGAACATTTTAAATACAGTTTCAACAACTAAGTTTTATATAGTACATTTTGAGTTCATCATAGAAAAGCATAAAAATCCATGTTGAGTTTTTAAAAAAGTGAATAAACCAGTGGGGGCCCGTCTAATGTAGAGGATAGAGTTCAGTATGGTAACATTGAAAAGAATAAAGGGGATGGGGCAGAGGTGAAAAATGCTAGTTTTTCCCCCCTTAAATTAATATCATCTTATTCATATAGCTCTTTATCTGAATCAAGAGTTTGTTCACTGGATGTGTTAGTTTTTTGTTTGAACATTTCGTTAGTTCAAAAATTAAAAATTACATAGAAAGGTATAGACAGAGAAGTCCCACTTTCACCCCTGTCTCTGTCTGCCTTGTCCCCCTTGTCCCCTATCCCCTATAAGGCATCTGGTTTAGTAGTCTGTGGTTTATCTATTTAGTGTTTCCTTAGGCACATACAGGCAAATGTGAATATATATTCTTACTTTCCGTAATTTTTACATGAATGGTTGCTGGCAGCCTACGTATTCACTGAATGGTGTTTGCTTTATTCACCATCATATTTCATCAGCTCTAAAAAAGGAAGTGCATAATATTATACGTACCACTAAGATATCATAAAATGCTGCCACATTACTTGCTTATCTCATTGACTGTAAGTTGTATCTTAGTTTCAGAAATGTAAAAATAGGAAAAAAATGTGTTCTACCAATAGTGTGTCCTCGCTCTCTCATCAGCTCATAGAGCTCTTCATCAGTTTTTATGGCTACATAATATTCTATCAACCAGTTGGACATTGAGTTGTTTCTGATCTTTTGTTATAGTGATACTATAGTGAATACGCTTACATCATGTCAGCTGATACAGATGTACCTGTAGGATAGATTCTTCGGGGTAGAATTGTAGACCAAAGGGTAAATGCATCTGTAATTATTAAGATATTGCCATATTTCCCTCTGTGGGAGATGTGCTGTTTTATATTCCCACCAGCAAAATACAAGAGGACTTTTTTTATTTTTTGGAGACAGAGTCTTGCTCTGTCATCTGGGCTAGAGTGCCGTGGCATCAGCCTAGCTCACAGCAACCCCAAACTCCTGACCTCAAGCAATCCTCCCGCCTTGGCCTCCCAGAGTGCTAGGATTACAGGCATGAGCCACCGTACCCAGCCACAAGAGGACTATTTTTCTCATCCTTGACAAAATAGTGTATGATCACACTTCTGGATTTTGCCAGTCTGATAACAAATGGTATCTTAGTGCTGGTTAATGATTTGCTTCCCTTACTATGCTTGAGTTTGAGGTTTTAATATGTTTGAAGGGCGATACGTGTTTCTTTGTATGAACCATGTATTTATGGATTTTGACTATTTTTCTATTCAGTTGAGCTTTTTCTTATTTTCTCGTGCTCTGATATAAAGGAGACATTATTTCTTTGTGATGTAAGTTACAGATATAGCTCCATATTTGTTGTTTATCTTTTGACTTTGCTTGTGGTATTTTCTTATGCCATGTAGTAGTTATTTATTTTTGGTAGTTGAATATATAACTCTCTCATGGCTTCTAGATTTTATGTCACAAGGCCGTCTTCACTCCAGTTATTGTATAAAGGAATCACCCAGTCTTCTAATTCTTTTGTAGTTCCTCCCTCTGCCCTTTTTTTTT